TCTGACAGACCAATCCCCCATCCCACTCAGCTTTTATTGATGAGCAAGATGCTATATGGTATGAAATGTCCCTTTGGTCAATTCAGGTCATCTGTCCCAGGTGTGTCCCCTTCCTACTTCATGTGCACCTGAGCCTACTTGCTGAGGGGGTGGGGTGGGAACTAGAGAAGGCCTTGACACTGTGCAAGCACTGCTCAGCAATTGCTGGTGTGTTATCAACACTGGTTTAGTGACAAATCCAAAACACTGCACCAGAGGAGCTGCCAGAAGACAATTAACTCCATCCCAGCCAGACCCAGCACAACATTATTGTATGAAGCACAGTAAAACTTAAAATTTTCCATAACTAATGTGAGCCATGGCTTCTGCCATGAGATCTGCATCAGTGCAAGACTGAAATCCACCTATACATAGCTACAGTGCTAGCATCAGACTTTGGTTTGTCTTGGGGCCATTAAGTTTTATTATACTACAAACAATAACAATGGAGGGTGTAAATTAACATGGTGATTATGAGAATAATTTTAGGCATTGACTTAGTCATACGGCATTACTTGGGGCTATAGATCAAATTGTGTCAATTCCAGGATCAAATAGTGTCAGAGATTTTTGCGATGTAAAGACCTTATTAATAGTTTGTTGTCAGGGTTTGTGTATCACCACAGCTTCTTTGAGTGTTTAATTAAATATGACCTTTTAAATGAGAGAAGACCTTTGTCTTTATACATCTCAAAACTGGCAAAAGAGATAGTGCTAAAAAGTGGTTGTGTGCTGAAAGCAAAATTGAAAATTATTATCTTAAGAATGAATATTTTGGGTAGTGAACATAAAGTAAAAAGGCTTATAAGGGAGATATTTTAGAACTGTATGCAAGCCAGTAGATGTAATATATACTGTATAACGATATGGAGTTGGTGGATAATGCAATTACTAGTGATTAAAAAGAGCTGGGTATTTTAAGCTCATGTTAATTTCTAAGCTTTTTTTTTTTCCCTAGTCAGACCAGTAGCAATTGCACTGGTCCAACAAGATGTATTGTAGGTTTGTTTTCAGGAATTAATCAGGGATTCCTGTTGTAGTTGGCTGGTAGCAGCTAAGTGTGTCCCACAGGAATAACTCTGACAGTAACATCTAAGTTGGGGAAAGTGGCTTTACTAACAAAATATCCCCTAGATTTGACACCAAGAAAAACACAGAAAAGATCAAATCCTAGTATTACTAGTACTAATAAAGGCATTGTTATCATATGTCAATATAGTACTGAAGTCATATTCTGCATTGATTTCATTGCAGGCAGTTTGTATTACCTATGTATGCTTATAAGTCTAAAGCCAAGCAATTTTGAAATACACAGTGGGAAATGTTTTAGTTTAAAATCCTACACTTAGCTCCAGAGTGCATTGGATCAATTTCTTAATCAAAGAACGATATTATACTGGCTTCAGTACACTCACCAACAAAACCTGTGTTGGTTAACTCTTAGGTTTTTGTCATTTTCTGTTTGGAAATGGTTCTTCATAACTCAGTTAAAGACTTGTGTGGCTTTGACATTGAACATTTCTGTAGTAAAGTATGAACTGACATATAAATGAAATCACTAATAAGTAAACAATTTAGTGCATGAATACATTAGTATATGACTGATGAGGATATATCAACAGAAAAAGCAACTTAAAATCATACGGAGGCTATAATTTTTAAAGCACTTATCCACTGAAAAATGTGTATCAAAACATTATAATTAAAACTTAATGTGAGGAAGGCAGGTCTCTGAGAGTCCAGTTTGAAAGTCCATAAAGTAGTCTTATTTTTCACATATGGTGTGTATTTCACATATGCTTTACTGTAGTAGAACTGCTCAGGGAAAAAAGGAATTGAAGTGCAAGTCCTCTGTATTTATGATCTGTTGTGATTATATATAATGTATATGCTTGCATATCAAAATCTATTAGTTGTAATTGTTGTAATTTTCCCTTTCTTTCTTTTTTTGTTTAAACTCCTTTTTTTTTTCTTTTTTTTTCTTTCTGTTTGTTTTTTTTTTGTTTTGTTTTGTTTTGGTTTTTTTTAATTAAATTGCTGCTGTAGATTCTTCAGAGTCTTTCTGGTACCTTCCTTTCTGGATCTCTGAACTAAAAGACAAGCACAGTGAAGCTGTAGTTTCTAGTTTCCACTGTTGCTATTGCTATCAGCTTGTTCATTCAACATGAACCTCTTTTGGAGTTTGGATACATGAATAAAATTTATCTAATAATATCATAGGACTATTGTCTGGCAATGCTTGCATGTTGCCTGAGATGTTCAAGTGAATGTTTAACTTTGTTTATTGTCATGCCTTTTTTTTTTTTCTTCTCTGTGCTTGGCTATTTATTGTTATTTGTAGTCTTCCCATGTGGCTGTGAAATTAATTTCCCTGATATTTTACTCCTTTAATTTACGTTTGCTCTTTGCACCAGTATACAAATGTGCATCTTCTAGCCTGATCACCTATGTCTGAAAGAGATCTCCTTACTTTTAAGATTTGGGAAACTGATTCAATTTGATTGAAAAAGTACAGTTGAGCTTATTTTTCCATTGTCCAGTACATCTTCTACATGTTGTAGAAGCCAACTTACTGTTGTACTGTTTCAAATGCTACAAAAACATTTGATTTATCAGTAATTTTTTTCATAGTGTGTGCTCTTCTACCTGGGGCCCTCTCCTTTCTTAGTCTCTTTCCTTCTATGAGCTTGTTGCCCTAGCTCCCTGCCTATAACATTTCAGGTTTTTTCATTCCTCTCAGCTCTGTACTTGTAGACAGGTCTATGTACAAAATATTTTGTTGGGAGTACTGCGGATGGAGGGACCCACACTTGAATCAGAAAATGGATCAAATTTCATTGTACCTCCTCTCCCCAAGTTTGTGGTAGGGTGATTTTGTTTTTCATAATTACATTTTAGCTAAATACAGAAAAATGTGGAGTTGGGAAGTGGTAGAAAAATCAACAAATCTTGAAATCGGATTAATCTGTTGTGCTTTCTTTGAAATATATCAACAAATGCTCTCTTATGACTGTATTTTGAATATGCTGTAGGCTGTAGAGTACTTTGCCCCAAATACCAATAAACAGGCTTCATAATTCTGCAGTCAGTTTTTATGAGATGAAGGCATTCTGCAGAAAAAGAATTGTCAGGAGGTGATCAGCTACTGGTGAGAGATAGTTTAATAAGATGAGCCCCACATATGACGATCGAAAGAAACCTTAATCTCTCATTTTAAACTCAGCCAAGGTGTCTGTGTTGGCAATGACAGTTCTGCTTGAGTCATGGAAGTTGAATACACTGGGAGGATCTTCTGACAATGAATTACTGCTCTTGTCTCTCAGCCAACAATTTTTAAATAAAATTGTCCTGCTCTGCTTTTGACAAAATGCTTTTGTCATAGTTGCATAAATATTGAAACAAAATAACTTCAGCTATACAATGGATGATTTATACTAATGCTTAGTGTTATTTCACTGGAGCAGAGAACTTTAGGAATAGGAGAGGTAGGAACTTGAACCATGAATTCTTTGTTTGGCTCATGTTCAGCTGTGAAAGGTATTATTCAAGCTCTGTACTTGTGTGGTTGGAGAACAAAAACCAAAATCAGGTTTGGATTCCATTCAGCTTTCATTCAGGTCAACAAAGTCTTTTCAGCA